ATCCCCAATGGTATCTTCCCTGTGAGATTTGAAGTTCCAAGGATGCGGTGCTCCAACCCGTCTGAGTCCTACTCCTTCCCTTCCGCCTTACCATCCTTCGGCATCCCCACATATGTTTGCAACTTCATTACTGCAAAAAGGTGGCTCAAATGGGTGCAATGATGAGCAAACCTTCATCGTTAGCAATGCTCAGACCTCGCCAAGGTCACATGCTTGCAGGTAATACTAGTAGTGCTACTATATTTACTCTTACAACTACAACTGGTTTTGGTCTTGATTTGTCATGAAGAGATGGAAAGTAGATTTGGATCCCTTGTTGGGAAATACATCTGTGGTATTGGGTAGCAGTTGTGACCAACCTTCGGAGGGGAGGAAGGCAATAGCGTGAATATTAGGGTGGTGATAGCCATGCCGACCGGGACAAAGACGAGACATTGCTCGCGAAGCATGTAGCCAATTGGGCGAGTTACAGAGAACAACGACTTCAGGGGCTTTGGAGAATATGCGCCCACTTGGGGTTGTGTCTCATGGCCTTTGTAAATCAACTCCAAGGCCTTATTTTGATTTCCTAACCAATACTATTATCTCTGTCCCTCATAATTACTTTGGACTTTTGAGAAGAGATTACTCTCTCTCTCTCTCTCCCTTTCCCCCTTCCCACACCATGTTTTAGCATTTAAGCCAAAGTGCCCATTCAATCAGTGAATCTCTACCTCGTTTCTTTTTCTTTTCTCACCCACACTCTTCTCCTTCTTTCGAGTCTTCACTCTATATTTTTCTTCTCGGAAGCAAAACGACCTATTCAGTATAAACTTGAGTACTACCATTAAAAGTTTGTCTATTTGCTAAATGAAAGAGACTGATGTATGAACGAATCATTTGAACTACAAAACTTATAAATAAAAGGGTAATATTGGGTTTTGAAAAAGAAAGTATAGGTTATGTGGTGTCACGTGTGCACAGATTGTAATAAAACATTCATGGATACCAAGGATGGGGGTAGAATTAGTCAATTGTCTGAAAACTTTGGGGTACTCTAAGACAATATATAAACAACAAGGGTAGAGTTAGTTAATTAGGTAAACCATAATGGTAGTTTAAGAAATTTGCCCTTATATAATATCCCAAAACAACATGTTTTAATTCCAAACCCATAAGCTCCATGCCTATGTTTGGTAAAAGTGCAAAAGTACCCTAATGGGCTCCATGCCTACCAATGATAGTATGATACTAACTCATTAGGTTTCTTTGTGAGCATTTGTAATGAAAAATGGTAATACTCAATCCAACTATACATTTCAAATTATAAAAGCCTTGTCATGTCATCGGAGGCTTATCTGGTTGTTGCCAATATGGGACTCTTAATTCACGTTGGACACATCAAAAAGCCTATAATGAAAATAAGTTTTCAGTTTCTCTCTTGCTCCCTCTATCTCTTGATCTTCCTCCATTCTCTCTCACTCTCATAGTCATCTCTCGATCTCCCACTCCTTTTGTCTCTCACACTCTCTAAGCTCTAGTATGCAGCCAAATCAATATATATATATATATATATATACACACACACATACATTTCTCTCATGTTCTCTCTATCAATCTCTCTCATTCATTCACACCACGTGTGTGTGTGTTTGTCAATCTATCATTTTCCCTCAATCTCTCTTATTCTTCTCCCTCATTCTCGACCTTGGTCGATATCTCCTCCATCAATATCTATTGCTCTTCCTCAATCTTTCTCCTACTCCCTCTTTCATTCTTTTTTTTTACAAACTTATGTGGTATTAGTCAAACCGTATAAAAGAATTAAAGGGACTAACCACTTGTACAATAAAGATAAATTTCTATCAAGTTGGTGTATTTCATAGACAAGAGTTTCTTGTGAATTTTTATCAAATTAGTATAATGATTTTATAACCATACCAAGTTGGTCTCATGTTCTTTTATACGACCTGATTAATACTGTATAAGCGTGTAAGAAAAAAAAGAGCGACAAAGGGAGTGGGAGAGAAACAAAGGGAGAACGATAAAAATTGAGGGAGAATGAAAGATCGACCAAGAAAGAGAATGAGCGAGGTTGGGTGAGAATGATAGAGAGAGAGAGAATGAGATAGATTGATGGAGAGTATAAATACAAAAACAGAAAACCATTTTTTTTTTCAAATCACACAACCATTGAGTAGAGAAAGATGATTGTGAGAGAGTGGGAGTGGGAGGTAGATAGATAGATAGATAGATAGAGAGAGAGAGAGAGAGAGAGAGAGAGAGAGAAATTGAAAGGGCAATTTTAGTATAAGCTCTTTTGTTGGTTTATGGACCAATATGCACCATAATTTTAAATGTACAACCAGCTTTGACTATAATTTTCCCATACTTGATAAAAGTGCAAAAGTACCCTAATAGGCTCCATGCCTACCAAATTTGCATGCATTTTTTTATTTGATTTTCAGTTGGTTGCAGATAATGGTATGATACTAACTCATTAGGTTTCTTTGTGATATTTTTAAGCAATTAATGCCTACATGGAAACATGTAATATTTCTCAAAAAAAAAAAACCCACACTTCTAAACATTTAATTAGAAGACAAGAACATAGAAGGCTTCAAAGAGTGTTATTTCTTGCAAGCAGATGGCATACAAGTAATGATAGAGATGAACCCATAACACCAAATGATAACGTAGAATAGAAATAGGCAAATTGGTTAAAGAAGAGATATGAAATTCCTATTATATATGGAAAATGCAATCTATACCAAGAGCTAGAGACACACCTTTTTTTTCCCCCGAGATGAAATAAGCTTGCAGCTTCAATATTAGGAAAACCCATTGGGGGGAATCGAAAAAATCAAAATCTCAAACAATTCTATTCTATGTGAGTATATGCAGAGTTTTCATGAACCTAAGGCTCAGTTTGGAAGGAGTACAAATGTAAATTTGTAGAGTGCAAAATCTTGTATTTTGTATTATTTTGTATTTATTTGCACTGTACATATTTGTTTTTGTACTCCTTCCAAACTGAGCCTAAGTCATTTAGGCAAAATATTACCAAGTATTTGAGAGTAGAGAGTAAAAACCCAAATTTCAAAATAGAAGATCATCATGGAGATAAGACGAAGGCCACCTATTTGTATATGTATTATTGAAGAGAATACAAATTGTTGTGGAAGAGGAAGATCATTGGACTTGCAGAAGACAATTACACATGCATGGGAAGAGAGAACTTGCTTGTACAAGTTCAAACAAATCCGGGCCCCAAAATCGCCACCCAAGAGGGAAGAGAGAACAAGTCCAGAGAGGGGTTTATTCTTGCATCCATTGCGTGAAAGTGTTTTTCTTTTTAATGATTATATCAATTTAAAAAAACGGAGAAGTATGGACATGCCCAATTCTGATTTCCACCGTAGAGTTATAAACATTCAAAAGGTAAAAAACCCACATTCCATGCACCCACATCCACCCGTGAATTAACATTCTGAACTGACACTTACCCTAAATGTACTTTGAGCCTACAAATTCTGACCCTGGATTAAACTGTCATTCTCCCTTCAAAAAACCCAATCTGCATCTGAGAAGATTTTCAAGAGTGCATGCCTTCATATATTGCCCTAATCAAGAGTGTGAATGATTGAAATAGGGCATGAAGAGACAAGGAAACCGGGTATTGATTTATCAAAACTTACATGCATGAGAGAGAACACCCCTCTCTTTTTTTACATTATCTCTATGTATAGTTTGAACCAATATATTATAAATTGACAGTAACGTTTTTTTGTAGCTTTGGGCCACCGCTACCAAAACCGACGTTTTTTGTTTCGGCCATGGTAGAATTTTGGTGAGGATGGAGGCAATGCCATTGACGATGGGGAATTCACTCCAATAGCCCATTCTATTATCGTATCCATATTAAGAAAGACACCATTATAACTAAATTCGGAGTTCATAAAAATACTTTTACTCAAATGTTTCATTTTAAAAAATTAAAGATGAAACAACATTTTTCATCTTTCCATATCAACGGCTATTAACAGGGGAAGATTAAACTAGACCTCGCAATTGGGTTGGGTGGGTCGGGTTCGGGTTGGGTCAAGACGCTTTGGGTTGATTTCGGGTTCGGTTATCAAATGCTAGACTCTGACCCTAAATGTTCGGGTTAGGGTTAACCCATGGGTCAATTTGGGTCATCCTATAAAATAACTGAATTTTAAAAAATAAAGAAAAACTACATGAAAAATGTCAAAATTAAAGGAATTAACCTTGAAATTCCGAATATAAAATAAAAAACTGAACATTTGGCAATTTAAAGAGTAAACAATAAAAAGTAAAAACTGAATAAAAAATATTAAAGAGTGGAAACTTCTAACAATGCATAAATAATCTTAATTAGACTTGACAATCGGGTCAACGGGTTGACCCATGACCCAACCTAGTTTTTTCTGGATTGGGTCATTCTTAGGGATGGCAATTTCCCCCATAAAACCAGGGCCCCACCCCACCCCGAATGGGGCGGGTTTTCTCCGACCCTAAACAAGGATGGGGTGGGGACGGGGAAAATAATTTTTCCCTAAACCGGGTACGGGGCGGGGTGGGGCGGGTTTTGTATATAATTCCTCGAACTTGCCCCGAACCCGAAGGTAAATTAGTAAAATATATATAGGTTTAATATTAATATTTAAAATATTTCTAAGTTTTCCCTAAATTTTTAAAATCCTAAGATCCTATAATTTTATTTTTGAATTATCCCTAAAGTATTATAATTCAATTCTAAAATACCCCCAAATTCCTATATTATATGCATAAATTGTTCATAAAATAGATATTTTTTAAGTAATTGTCTTAGAGTGGGAAAATTTGGGGATTCCTTCTCCTCGATGGGGAATGGATGCCCCACCGAAACCTGCCCTACTACCGGGAATGGGATATATACGGGGCAAGATATCATGACTTAGGAGCAAGGACAGGAAGAAGATGCCCTACCCCAAACCCGCCCCGTTGCCGTTCTTAATCACTCTAACATATGTTAGATAGCTAAATATGAGTCCCTAACCCTAATTTTTTCAGGCCCTAATATTTGCCCTGATCCATCGAGTGGGCAAGGTATCATGACTCGGCACACAATCAAGTGGGTTTCATCAAAATTTAACAGCCGCGACGGCTTTTGATTGGTCAAAGTCTTTCCGTTATCGAGTAAAAGCCGTATGGATTGTGAACATGTCTGGTACTCCCCTACTCGGCACTTCTTCACAACTGCGGATAAGAATATTCACAACTGTGGACGACGAGAGAGGGAGAGATGGCACTTCGTGCAGGCCACGTTTACGCATCTACTTTGAAGCATGAGAATATGTATAAGCCACGACTGTCCATCAATCGGAGAGTTAGTTTACGAGTCACTGCATTTGCCAGCAGCGCCAGGGAACTGATAGAATCCGGTGCTGTCCGATCAATATCACCGAAGGATGCTGTGTCGATCATGAATTCCGAGGGCTTCCAACTTCTCGATATCAGACCAGTGTGGGAAAGGGAGAAGGCATATGTATCTGGATCTTTACATGTGCCACTTTTTGTGATGGACACGGACAACAGTCCAATTACCCTGCTGAAGAAATGGGTTCACTTTGGCTACATTGGTCTGTGGACAGGCCAGTACTTCACCACAACCAACCTCGATTTTCTCCGTCAGGTCGAGGAGGCAGTTCCTGATAAGGAGGCTAAGCTTCTTGTGGCATGTGGAGAAGGGTTAAGGTGAGACGTTTTGACTCTATTCTCTCTCTGTAAATATAACAGCAAAGAATAGTCAAGGATGCGACTGTAAATGGTTGGACTGAATGAAGGAGATTGATGTCACAGTCATTCGATTCACTGACTCGAATCCTTATATTAATTACTAGTAGGACTACCACTTGGTAAATTTTAATTAGTTAGTGAATGTTATGTTAATTAATGTGTTAATTTAGGTCCATGATGGCCGTCGTAAGATTATATGAAGGAGGGTATCGGAACTTAGGTTGGTTGGCTGGAGGGTTCAACCGAGCCGGAGATGATGATTTTCCTGCTGTTGAAGGGGCTGGCAAACTGCAATATGCCACAATAGGAGGCGTGTCATACTACTTCCTTCAATTACTCCTATTCTTGCAAGCTGTCGGTAACAAGAGCTGACCCTTTTATCAGGATATTGTTTTCTTGTTCCAATTTTCAATTTATTCTTCAGCCTGTACATGATTATAGGTTTGATTTAAGGTATGTGACTATAAACTTATAGAGATAAGATTTCGAAGGCGGAATGGACAAATGACATGTATAAGCTGGAACAATTGGAATGACATAAGGATAACGCTGTCCTTGTTCAAATTGCCTGTATTTACTGCCTCCTCACTTTCCGTTACTTTCCCCTTCTTTCCTTTTCCGTGCTTTTTTTTTCCATGATTTTCACTTGTTATGACTTATGACCTTTTTCCAAATTAATAATTATTCTGGTGGTTTTCTGAGCCTTTTCCTTTAAAGTTTCTTCACATGGCAACTACTCATTCTGTCATTCATTTAAATTGACTGCACAAAGCACAATTCCCTTCAAAAATAAATTGACTGCACAATACAAAAAAAGGGAAACTACTTGATTATATTTCTTAAGGTTACTTGATTCATATTCTGATCTCTGGTTGTTCATTAAAAAGGGGGGGGGGACCTACTCAGTATTCATCCTTTTGCTTTTGTTGAAAATGATGTAGGGAAAAACTAAGAGAGATATATAATGGACAAGCGGTTGTTGTTGGCATCTGGCTTTTAATATTGTTTGGTCATTTTAAGAAATACCTTATTGACAACCCAAATGGATTTCCAGATTTGTTAGAGGACTCCTATTGGGTTAATATCCTTGGTGACAGTTCAGTCATTTAATTCACTTTCATTGTCATTATTATTTATTCAAATTTGTAAGTTTTTTAATTCTTATTTGACAAACAATTTCACTTCAACCATTGTTTTTTTTTTTTTAATTTTTACTTTTTTTTTTGTAGAGGAGATGGGCTTTGCTTGGGATAGTGATATGGATCTTACCCAATTAAGTAGGCTAGAATCAAAATCCACATCTAAATCTGACTTTTGAACTAAGGCTATTACAATAGTTACTAATGGGTGATAAAAGGTCAAGGCCTGTTATGTAATTAAACACCATCTGTTAAAACTGTAGTTTAATTTTAACCATGGATATTAAAATTATTAATAATGGATGATGACAGGCTGCAGAATATTCTGTAAATAAACACCATGTAAACTACTAGATATTTTTGTTCTAAAGTTTTGATGTAGCAGACAATTGTGTCTAATCAGTCAAATGGCGGGGTTGGTAGAAGAAACGTAGTTAAAGAAAATTGTTAGGATTGGTTATGCTGATCAGGAATTTCTGTAAAACTGGTAAATGAATGCAAATTACATTATTAAGGATAGGAATCAAGAGATACTCTCATACTGCTTTGCACTATTTCAGTAATTACACATCCCTTCATTGGTATCTATGATTTATAAAGAAAATTATGAAAAAAATCTTTGTTCATACTCCTAGATAATTAACATTTGAAATGAATGATATCCTACTCTACATAGTAGGGTTAGATATATATTCCCACCCTTTTTTCTTTAGACAGGTAAAAGTTAATAATATTTATTTATTTATTTTATATGGGTTGATTGTGGGCATTATAGTAACTGCATATTTCTTCCTTGGATGCATGTAAAACAAAATTTGAAAATGGATCTCTTTTCATACTATCAAGAGTACAATCAACATTGCCAGTCCTCATGTGGAGCAATTTGGTATTTTTTTGAGAACCCACAAAGAAAACAATAATTAATTGGCATTACTTAACTTCCATTTTTTGTTGGTTTTCTAATGTGTTACCCAATAGGTATTGGTTGAGATATTGGATTCATGCAGCTCAGTTATACAAGGATGGTAAATTTCCTTGACAGTTATAAAATTGTTTAAGGACTGTAGAAGTTTATATATTATCAATTAGCACTCCATCTCTAGTCTTCACTAACACACTTCACTCTGCTTTTTCCATTGAGTACTTGACAGGAGATGATAGAAGATAAATTGCACCAGTAGATGCATATTCAGTCCTGTAAATAACTTAAGGATATAGATATCCATTCAATTTATTTAATATTTGGTTTCTATCTTTGATTAAAATGCTGTATCCTGGAATGAATTTCATGCTAGATTTTTTTTTTAATTTATTGGAAATAGAAACAACTTAAATTTGCTTTATGCTGTTTTGAATACCAGAGGTTGATATGTGGGAAAAGAATAAACTGTTTGCATCAATTTGGTTAACTAAATCATATTTGATTTATGTTTTCTTACTTTACATATGCATCTTATGTCTAACCATCAAATTAAGAATTGATTTTTTAAAATTTTACCAAATGAAATTGTGTTTATTCGGATTTTTTACACAGTTTTTGAAATGACCTATGTTGGCAATCATTCTGGATGGTGCCACCTAATTGTAAGGTGGATGATTCATAGTTCTCTTTGAATATAGGATTTTAAGAAAATAATTTTGGCCGAAGTCATGATGTTGATGCTATTTCTATCAGTGGACTGGATTTTGATCCAAATCTTGTCCAACTAAGGTAGATTTAGAGCACCCATTATGATTTTGGGACGTTAGACCTTAATTTGGTTCTTAAGTACATTTGATGTTTGGATCAACCTTAGATCCAAGTTGATTCGAGAGAAAAAAAAGACGATTTGATAATATATACAATAATAAGACAATAATACCCTTTCCATTTGCCATTTTATACTCACTATCATCAATGGATATTATTACTAAATAGAAACCTAAAGTTGTAATTAAGACAGTGTATATAATATCTTTATGCTCCTCTTACTTAAATAAAGGAAGCCTAACCCTAAAATGGAACCAAGTCACTCAACTCTTCCTCTCCCTCTTCCTCTTCTCCTTTCCTTTGGAGTATATATCAAGAAAAATTAAAAGACCGTCGCACCGGCAGGTACAAATTTGATTACTCAAAAATCGATACATGAAGATATATGTTCAAATTCAGTTTATTGAACCTTTAGTTTTGATGTGAACAAGATGCTAGATCCTGGACTATATTTATACTTTTATCTGGTTTACAGCTTCAATCTAGAGAACTTTTACATACATATAAATTAGTCAGTGATGAACAATACCATTTCAATTGTTCCAGTTGATTATATCTTTGATGTTTTATGTTGTGATGTTTTACATATCTTATTTTATTACCATATTTTCTATCCATATATTTACAACAATAAGTGGTTGTTAAGATTGCATATGGTTGACGATTTATTTGGGATGATTACAGTATGTAGCCATCCATTGTTAGTATGGATCTATAGTGGTTTTTTGTCAAAAGGGTTTTGTAAACCTTGTCATTTTGGTTAGAGTCATGAAGTAGAAAATATGCTTGTGAATATTTTGATTTGAATCATATCCTAGTTCAGTGTAACTAAGGTGGATCTTAGTTTGATTATGAATACAAAAGATTAGATTTGGATTTGCTTTTCAAAGCCGTTTAGCCATTATATTGAACTCAAATATAAGCTGATTTGATCCAATAGAAATCATATTCATTATTAAGATGTAATGTAATGTACCTCTTTCATTCTATGTTTTTATACCTACTATCATTAATGATCTAATTGATGCAGTTAGCGAGCAGAAGCCTTAAATTGTATTTAGTGTGGATGTAGGAAAACGAAGCCGAAGTCATGTTAAATGATAATTTCCCCCCTTTCTTTCTTTCTTTCTTTTATAGTTCTTCTCTAAGAGACTAGATAGGGCTCCTTTCATTGTTTGCATCTTTCAAGGGAATTTCTCATCTACCACTATATGCCACAGTTTATCTTTTAATGGAATAAGTAGCTAGTGGATCCTCTACCTTTTGTTTTGCATACTTCATAACTAAATGAGTCTCACGACCTTCATTTTGAAAAATCCTATGAGAGTTAAGTTCTGATTGAAGATCTTATTGAAAATTAACTGTGCATCATTTTTGTTACTTGATATCTTGTTCAATTGGAGTCTGGGCTATTTTTATAATTTGAAAGTCTATCATTTTTGGGGATATCTTTGATGTGTTAGTAAAGGACTCAATGACCATCTATTTTGTGCTTTCAACTTGCATTTGGTCTCTAGTCTTCATTTTTTTATCGAGTATTCACCAAGAGAACATAGAATATTGGCTGCATCCAAAGCTACAAATTGGATAGAGCAAATAACTTAGGAAAATCAGTTAACAATGGATATATAAAGGTACGCATTCAACTCATTGAATCTCCAATTAATTTCAATATGTAACTAAAATGCAGGAACCCAATTACAAAAAAGATGTTATGCTTATTAGATTAGTAGGGGGGGGGGGGAGTTCTCCAGCATGAATGTTTTTGTTTTTATCATTTCTAAAATATGCCACATCAGCTGAAAACAAAGATATGCTCTTGAATGTGTACTAAATGAAAACATATCCAGTTTGATTCAGAAAAATAACATTGTTTCCGAAAAAGAAGATGCTTTAAAAAACAGAAACGTGTTTTCACTTATATGAGGCTGATATGGGCTACTATTTGGTCTATGGCGCATACACTGAAATCTCCTATTTACCACCTTACAAGTGTTGGTAAATGGTAAAAGCTTATATGAATCATATCAATGGATATGGATCCAAGCTGTAAAGAAAAAATAAAACTAAAGAGGTGATCAAATACTCATTTGATCAGAATCTCCATCTGAATATTGCATGTTCATCAAATGCAACATTGAACCAAGAGTGTAAAACATTATTTGAAATCAGAAAATCAAAAACATGTTACTCATCCCAAAATAAAGAAAGAAATTAAAAACATGTTTTCAGTTTTGGAAACAAGAAACTCACCACAGAACCAATAACCTGTTTTCCGTGTTTTTGTTCTAAGAATAAACTTTCTTTCATACCTGGTGGGCAATCTTTGTTTTTGGAATTGACACCATAAGAAATAACAAAATCATGTTGAGGAACGCCACCCTGGGAAAACAAAAATGAACATTTGGAGTTAATTTAAAATATTTATGAATTTTGCTTTTATAAATTTACATTTACCCAAACAGAGGAGGAAATTCTCAAATATCCTGTAGCATGTGACCCTTAGGCCCTGTTCGCATTTTGGTAAGTTATTTATCCGGATAAATGCACTTAGCTAGGTAATTGTTTCCCAGGAAAGATTTATCCGGGTAAGTGCATTTACTCGTGTTCTTTTATTTCCCATGTAAATAAGGCAACAACCATTTTATCCATAAAAATTCATTATTACAAGGGGCATTTTTTGCTCATTTTTTAAGTGTTGGCAACTTCCCCCCAAGATGGGAAAGTTATTTATCCACCTAGGAGATAGGTATAAGTGATACCAAGGAAAATAAACTTTCCCCGGGTTCCACATAAATCTAAAAAAAGAACATGGGATTTTTGGTCCCATTGACCAACTTCCCCCTCTCAAAATCCAGAAAAAGAACACCCCCTAATAGTAATGTACTATTGGTACTTGCGATGGGCTATCCATAAATTATTGACTCACATGGTAGGAATAGGACTGGAAATATGCTTGGGTTAGGAAAAGATGAGTAATTTAAGATTTCATCACCTTCATATGGTATTCAAGGCCCCTCCTTGCATTCTGGTCTAACATTTCTGATAGGACTAGTGAAGTTTCTTGGAGCTTCCACAATGAAGCATTTGCCAGATTTTTGAGTCCATATTTTATATAATTAGACTCCACCCATGCCTGATGGTTAAAACATTCAAGGACAAAAATAGAGCACCAGACTACCAAAGCTTAGTTGGAACTTGGAAGCTGTTAGTAGTAGTCGGCTTTCAGACCAGAGCACCACTTGAGATAATTATTATCAAGTTCTCTTTTCTTTGTCATGTTAGGCCATCTAATAATCTTTTCAGGCACAAGCAATCCATTTGAAAATGTCAATAAAACAATAAAACATTCTTGTATATATATATACAATGATTCACGTTCTTTGGTCAATGGATTAGTAACTGAAAAACCTATTTATATATATGTATATTTTTGAAAGGACGTGTTAAATAAAGTTTTTATTATTTAGTCTTGGTAGGCTTAGATGCTAATTAAAGTTAATTTTCTGGGAAGGTCATATAGAAACAAAAGATTTTCGACAAATTGAATCAACATGACAAGGTAGGTTTCAAGTTATGTGATAGTTAGGGCCCCTTGACCTTGGAAGGTGGTTCCATCTCTGGCGTGACCAACCATTCTATGGTCGGACCCTACTCCCTCCATTCCGTGGTTTCTATCTGTCCTAGCCCGACCTATGAATCAATAAATAACTTGTATTCACATGGATTAATGGATAGTTGAATTGAATCCAACCCAAATCATTTCATTTAGTCCTCATCACGCATTCCCATAAATGAGGAGAAAGGGCCCGGAGGATATGCAGACCTCCCTTCTCTTTACATTTTTTTTTGATAGGCTCCCTTTTCTTTACAATTAGGGATAAAGATGATGCTTTCATACATTTATTATTGCTATTATCAAATATTAATTGGGACCGACACACACGAGTGTGTGTGTGTGTTTCTCAATTCTCAATTTTCAATTTTCGTGCTTTCATATCGGACACATTTCCTCTCTCTCGTAACTTATGAAGTTCTCCGTCAAAGGACTGAAACAGTAATTAATGAATTTTTTGCTCCTCAGCCTCTTCTCATTAAACAATTTAAACTGTTAGTAATGATGATAGCGTGCGCTGGCGGTGGACTTGGTCTTTGCAATGTGAGCGATATACCCCTGCTTCAAATTTTCAATGTTCCATTTCCATACTTTAGAAGGTAGAACCATAGAAGATCATGAGGTCCGTTTCGATAATCAAGACATTACTCTGTCCTGTGCGGTTTTGTTTCTTCGGTGGGACACAAATGCCCGCCCATCCTCTGCGTCAGTGTCAGTCAAACTAAAACCAGTGCGACCACTTTATTCTGCAACCGTCCGATTCATAGGCTTTATTTCCGTTGATCAGGCTATCCTACGTGCAGATGTAGGGAATTAGGAATAGGCAAGTGACATGGTAGTCATGTTTGTGTACTACCAATTAAGTTAAGCCACTCCAGAAGAAATAAATCAATAGTGAGTAACAGAAAAAACAAAGGAAGGAGAAGGGTGGTTTGGTTGGCCACCATCTGATTGAATTTTGAAAAAAAAGGAGGAAGGATTTGGAATTTCATGGTGGCCTTTCTCTTCCAAAGTTTATATTCCGTTAGCGTTGACGGTCGTCGCTTCTCTTCGTTTCTGAAGCGTATTTGACCCAGCAGAAGTGAGAGAAGCCTATCCATCAATGCAAATGCAACAAAATCTCAAACCGAGTTCTGGTTCTGACGAAGGGATGATCTCGCGGCATGTCGCCCACCAGGGCCCAATGCACTGACTGAATCCGGTTTCCCCTTAGGGCAAGTCCGTACTTACACTGTTTCAACCGCTATTTGCAACATATCTCTCCATGAAATGAAATAAAATATGTAAGTATACGTAGAAATATTCTAATGGGCATTGCCCTGACGGAAGCTGAATTCTGCAGTGACACTGTTTGTCTTCCTCTTCTAGAAATGAACAACATGGGTATGTGACTATGTGCTGTAACCTTTGTAGATAGTTTCCCTTTTGTTTGCCACGTGGCTATTTGTAACCGGTAAAATGCCCTTTCTTTAAGAGAGCAAACTTCTACTATGTATATCCGTAACCTATTTGATCGACGCTTAACCGCTTGAATCCTTCGATTTGAGCATCAAAGATGAGCGTTATTCGTTGATGGTATCCATTATCCTCATGCGGGGCCTACTTTTCTAACTTCAACTTTGTTAACTGGATCCGAATCCGACGGTTTAACAAATTTCCTCGTCCGAGGGTGTTCAACAGTGAATCGCTTCCCAATTCGAATGGAGATTAGGTTAAAAGATTCGCCTTTGCAATTACAATCTCAAATTCTACGGCCACTGGGCCACGCATTTCACCTGCTTCGTTTTTTTATTTTCTATTTCTCCTTCTCTCTCTTTCTGATGTTACGTTTACGCCCGTTTCATGGTTCATTTAAAACTCTCGTACCTTCCCAAAGCCAGAAAAGCTGAGTTTACATCTGAAAGAGAAGAAAATTCCTCTCCTCTCACCTTTCTTCTCCCATCGTCCCGTATCGTGTCGTCTCCGCCAATGAAGAAGAAAGCGGAATGCACCACCGCTGTTAAATCCCATCCTAGCAGATGACGATATACCCTCTTCATTTCGTTGCCATTTCCGTCATTTTTATCGCCTTCTTCTTATTTTCATCTGTAACCGATTGCCTTGGTTCAGCCTCCACCGTTGCCATTAGCTATGGTTCCCGTACGATTTGCGGCATCGTCTCTGGAGAACCCACGCAGAGAATACAGTGCTTTAGTGGAGGCCGAACTGTTTCGGTCCAGCCGAATATATCTTATACGGCCATCTCCGGCGGCCGCAATTTCTTTTGCGGGCTGAGGTCCGGAGGAAACAGTTTGCTCTGCTGGGACACGGGTTTTGTACCCAAACGAATCTATTACAACGATACGTTGAAGTTGAAGGATCTGGCGGTGGGCGATGGCCACGTCTGTGCGTTGGTGAATGGGACTGGAGTTGCAAGGTGCTGGAGAGGGGAGAGGTATGCCTTTCCCGAGCCAGATAKAAGTGAGAATTTTCTGTCCATTACATCGGGAAGAGGGTTTTCTTGTGGGATTTTGAACGAGAATGGTACAATTAGGTGTTGGGGTACCAGTCCAATTTGGAAGGAGATACAGAGCCAATTCGGAAATGCCTCTGTGCTCAGCTTAGTTGCTGGCGATTCTCATGTTTGCGGTATAGATTCTAGTGGTTTTTTGATTTGTAAAGGGAGAAACAATTCTGGGCAGTTGAATGTTCCCTCAAATTTGCCTTTTGAGTACTCGAGTCTGGCACTAGGATTGAATCATAGCTGCGCGCTTCGACGGAATGGGTCGGTCGTTTGTTGGGGAGGAGGGGGAAAATTTTCTGACAATGTCACGGAGGGTGTTTCCTTCGAGCTGATTGTCGCTGGTACGGAGTTTACTTGTGGGTTGATGACAAGAAATTTTTCTCTGTTTTGCTGGGGACCTGGAATTGGATTGCTTACTTACGGATATAACTCGTCGTCTATGAATCTCCCGTTGCCTAAGGTTATTCCGGGGCCTTGTGTTCAAGATTCATGTAGCGGCTCTTGTATGTATGCTGATTCGCAGACTCTTTGTTCCGGTTTTGGTAATATATGTAAGCGATGCAATGTCCCAATTCTGCCACCGCCCCCGCCCCCGCCACCACCATCACTACTGCTGCCGCCAAAATCGCCGTCAAAAAAGACAGGCAAGGGTTTGTTGGCTTTTGCTGTTATCGGATCAATTGGGATGTTTTCAGGTGTCTGTACCCTCATCTACTGCTTGTGGGCTGGAATATGCTGTTGCAGGCAAAAGAAAGTCCATAATTCTGTTCAGCCCACTCTTACCGGAGGCAATGCTAATGCTGGTCCCACAGCAAGCAGTGGTCCTTTTAGTTCTGTGTCGAGATCGTCCACCATCAGACGCCAGAGCTCCCGAGCAATGAGGCGCCAAAGGAGTGGGACCTCATCGAAGCACGCGGACAAGGCTGAGGAATTCGCCTTATCGGAACTCGCCGCTGCCACCAACGACTTCTCGCCGGAGAACAAGATTGGGGCCGGTAGTTTCGGGGTAGTTTACAGGGGCAAGCTTGCTGACGGACGTGAGGTGGCGATAAAAAGGGGAGAGACTGGTCCTAGGGCGAAGAAATTCCAAGAGAAAGAAAGCGCATTCGATTCAGAAGTAGCCTTCTTATCCCGTCTTCACCACAAGCATTTAGTCAGGCTTGTGGGTTTCTGCGAAGAAAGAGACGAAAGACTTTTAGTGTATGAATACATGAAGAATGGGGCCCTTTACGATCATCTGCATTCCAAGGGAAATGTAGAAAAGAGCAGCAGCGTCGTGAACTCTTGGAAGATGAGGATCAAAATCGCACTAGACGCGGCAAGGGGGATCGAGTATCTTCACGACTACGCTGTTCCGCCGATAATTCACAGAGACATCAAGTCATCAAACATTTTGCTGGACTCTAACTGGATAGCGAGGGTGTCAGATTTCGGGTTGTCGTTAATGGGGCCAGAACCCAACGGGGAGTACACGACGACGAAGGCAGCAGGGACAGTTGGGTATATGGATCCGGAGTATTACAGCCTAAATGTGTTGACAGCCAAGAGCGATGTGTACGGGTTAGGAGTGGTGCTGCTGGAGCTCTTGACAGGGAGAAGGGCGATATTCAAGGACGACGAAGAAGAAGGAGCACCAACAAGCGTGGTGGAGTATGCGGTGCCGAAGATTGAAGCAGGAGAGCTGATGAAGGTGTTGGATGAGAGGGTGGGGTTGACGGAGCCCAGGGAGGCGGAGGCAGTAGAGCTGATGGCTCGCGTGGCGGTGAAGTGTGTGAGCTTAGAAGGAAAGGAGAGGCCCACCATGGCGGACATTGTGGCCAATTTGGAAATTGCATTGAGCCATTTTGATCACAGTAATGGTAGCCATGGAAGCATCTCTAGTACCTTCTCAATTGTTTCCGAATGAAATAAAAGGCTAAGTTGTTTACAATTTTGATTCATTGTTATACAACAGTCTGTTTAAATCTTCTATTTAATTTTTGGGTTAATTTTATTCTTTTGATTTAGTTTGGCTTTTACATGTAAGGTGATCGAGAACCAGAGAGAGAGAGAGAGAGAGAGAGAGAGAAGTTGTAAAGAACAGGCTGAACAGCCAAGCTCACATGAGCAGGAGGGAAGGGGAAGAAGCGCCAAAGGGAAAAAAAGTAACGTGACGTTAGTTAGTGAATGATTTGTTATGTTGGCTCCTTTTCTCGTTGGAAAAGGGAAAAGAAGAATAGAAGAAGAAAGAAGGATGACTACTTCTTGCCTGCTTGCTTTATGACTTGGGTTTTTACTTTTTGAGTCTTTAAAGCACTTCGCTTCTTTTATGCTATATATATATTAGAGGTATGAAAGGACAAAGTCAGAAAAGGTGAACATCATTGTCCTTCTTTCACACAAACGAATTTTCGTTTTGGGACTCCTTCAATCTCATTATATTTGGCCCGCTTCATATGTTTGTGTATGTGTGTGCGTTTTTTTCTTTTCTAAAGTGATCACAAGGCTAAGGGTGGTGGTAACGCCTAACGCAAGTGGTGTTGTGGTTGTTGGTTCTTGTTGTTGGTATTTCTGATTCTACAGTTGACAGTTCTACCGCCGCGTCAAGTACAGAAGCAGGCGTCACTGTAAAGTGTAAACGAGAAAAGGCCTTTTTAATGAATGATGGTGGCATTTTGGGGTACAGTACAGAAGGGGAGCCGGAAATCGAACGGTCTTGATGGTTATTCCACAATCAGACACTGGGGCCGGTTATTCGTTCTTATTGTAGTGCATTTCCCATAATCATGAACCTGGTCCGACCCTATTGGTTTGGTTTGGTGAGGTCGACTGAGTGGTTGGTTCTTCATCTCTAATTTGTCACAAGTCATAAAGCGGCAATGCCAGGATAGGGATTGGGAAGGATCAACGTCCAACAATCTTGCATTGCTTGAGTTTCGGCGCCAAAGCAGCAAAGTCCAAAATATTCAACTGGACTGGGACTGGGACTGGAACTGGAAACTGGTAGTAGGTGTTTTAGCTGGACGAGTAAAGAAAGAAATACATAAACAAAAAGGGGACTTGATTCCATACATACTTATTAGTCGGCAGCAAACGCACACGGCGCACCCACCCTTGAACTGGAAAATGGAAGGGCATACCTTATTACAATTGTTTTATTCACCAATGACTTYGGATTTTGGCTGATTTGCCAAACGGCATTTAACAACTGAGGATGAGAAACGACTGAGTAGGTGGTAGTTGCATTAGAGAGAGAGAGAGAAATGAAGTGCCGCAACCACCCCTCAAAGGCCCAAACTGGTCGTTTCCAGTGTTTGTATGCGTGTATGGGCAAAGAAGGGATAATTCCAAGCACAAACAGGTTTAGGTAGCATCGGGGTGGCTTTCTCTAAGTCCAAGCAAGAAAACCACACGCGGAAGGAACCTATCTCAGAAGTCAGATCCTTGTGGACTGGCACCCGCCACCCGCTGCATTAAACACTGCATCAATTATGATGTTGATGGTTTAGCTGTTAAAATTAAGGGAAATTGTCTAAAACTCACTTGTAAGTTTTTATTTTTCAAAAATCACCCGTTAATGCTTCTTAACAGAGGTGTCCATGTTAGCATAAATAACAATTTTCATGATCAAATTACCCTTGAATGGTGAGTTAGAGAAAAATGGTCTTTCAGTTTTCAATTTTTTTTTTGTTTTTTTTTGCATTTTCAATGTTCTGTTATAATTTTCAATGTTTTTTTATAATTTATGTTTTTTTGCATTTTCTATTTTCTATAATCTATAAAATTTTCTGTATTTTTTGTAATTTCTATGTTTTTCTATAATTTTTGGTGTTTTTTCTATAATTTTTATTTTCTGTTTTTTTTTTAATTTCTATAGTTTCTATAATTTGAAAATATTTTTTTATTTTGTTTGCAATTTCTATAATTTTTATATTTTTTGTAATTTCTATGTTTTTATGTATTTTATATTTGAAAATATTTTTTTGAACTTTTCCTTTTTTTCATGTCTAAATATTAAAATGGTAATATATTAACACCCGTTAGTTTGTTTAATGTCAAATTAGTGACATAGTGAGTTTTAGACATTTTGAAAAGTTGTAGTGAGTTTAAGAGAAATGCTGAAAACTCATGTTGAGTTTTAGACAATTTCCCTAAAATTAATGATTCTAGCAATTACTCGATAAGAGTAATTTTTCAACCCTCGTATCAATAAAAATAACCTTTTTAATGGGGATACTGTTCACCTCCTCCCTTTGGAAACATCGAACAATGGCAACAAACCTTCTCCACCTCCACTCTCTCTCTCTCTCTCTCTTCTTCTTCTTCTTCTTGATACTGCCAAATCAAAAAAATAAGACCAACGGCTCTACTCTGCTGTGACCGTTCAGATCTGCTATGAGTTTGGAACAACTCAAATAAGAAGAAGAAGGAGAGAGAGAGAGAGGTGAACAGTATCTCGTACCTTTATTTGATATTCTTTCAAAAAAAAGTAATCATATTCTGAAAATTATATTAAAAAGATTATTTTTATTGATATTAGGGGCCAAAAGTTGCCCTTATTGGCTAGAATCCCTTAAAATTAAAACTGCATCTTTATCGGGAGAGAACGTTCAGGACTACTGAGGGGGAAGCATTTGAAGCTATTCGTGAACAAATAGACTTATTCATAAATGCTGCTAGAGCTAAAATTCTAGACGTCTGTAGGTTTGATGATTAAAGAACAATTGAGAATGGTTGAAACCGAACCCAGTTCAATCATGTAATATTGAGAAAAAGAATTGAACAGCCAGCATCGTGTAATAGTTTTTTTCTTAGCCTTTCACGTGCTTAGTTCAATTAGTTCTAATCTAAATAGGAAAATAGAATTTGAAACAACTCAAATACTAAAAAAAAATTCATCTAYTTGGATCTTATCTAAATTCTTACACCACACAGACACAGAAAAAAAAGAAAAAAAAAAAGCGAAACCATTACCCATTGTTGGGAAGGGTAGACTGGATATGGTCCTAACCTTTGCATTTTTTTTGCGCCCCCATCTCAGACCCGAACTCACATTCTCACACTTGCCAGCACGACATTTTACCAATAGACGACTACACGTCACACAATTCATCACCATTATTTGGATAAAATAAACAATCATTTTAATCTCGACAAAACCATATGCAAACTTGAAAGAACAAAAATGCTATCCCTAACAAAACTGTTGTCTACATATCGCAAACCCAGACCAGAGCAGAATCAAAGCAAGCGCCAAGCGGGATGCCAAGTAAAGGTATAATTGAAAACCCAAAGTATCATATGATCCCCAACTCCCCCGCTCAACTTTCAGAGTCTTGCGGTTTTTCTCCCCAACAGCCCACTGAAACAAAAATTATTTTGAGGAGACCTAACCACTCTAACTGGTGTTAAACCTGAGATAGGTGAACTTGTGTGGCCCTAAAAAAGGTGGCCGAACATTACTATTTTTAGCCTTACACTAAATTACGAACCTTTCTGAACATGGCTAGTACCGACTCCAAGTCTGAACTACAAATTAAATCAAGAGGCCTACGAACCATTTATGTACATGTAGAATTGTAGATCCAGCATCAAACAACACGTCCAGAAGTCAATTACACATTTATACTCAATAAATAATATCTAGTGAGTAATCTAAAACTAATTCCGGTATGGTACCTTATACATCCAAGTTTGGCATTGCATAACATAACTAAAGTAGAATAAATAAACTTTTAACATGACAGTTTCTACCTTGAATGCCTCTCGAGTAAACAAATTATGACCAAGTAATACCTACCAGATGAATAAAAGAAAGGTCCAAGTTTCACTTCGCAGGATAGGATGGTCCAGATAAATCACTCTGTTTCCTCTCATATACTCCTTTAAGTTAATATGCACGTTATGAGAATTATTTAATCCAGTCAAAAGTTCAACTTGAGGACAAAATTGTTAAGAATGATCAAATTCTTTGAAATGTTCTTCTTTGTCTTCGTTCTTCAACCTCATTCATATAATCAGAGAGCCAAAGAAGACCCTTGTAACCATAGTAGGTGGCTAAGATTAGAGCCACTACTATAGAAATAATAATAAAAAATTTCCACATGGTTGCACCAATTGCCTGTACAAGAGAACCATCCATTACAACAAAGCAGAAGAAAGTGGATGGCAGATATGAATACAGAATTCTTAGTGAACAAATGATACAAACCTGCAACCGTGAAAGTTGCCTGGTTTCTTGTGCTCGTTCATGCCTTTTTCTACGCTTTGGAACATGTTTCTCTGCACTGACCACCTTAACCTTTGCAGAAKGAAAAAAGGGGGAAATTAGTCTTTTTCTACACTCTGGTTGTTTTGCTGAATGTTAGGTCCCTATCCAGTCTCCCCCTCCCAGACCCCAGTTAGTTGGGACCAACATTAGGTGATGGTCCTTACCATTTTGTGTTGCAACTTCAATGTAACAATGTAACATGCAGGTATAGGTAGTGATAACAACCCTAGGATTGATCTGGGATGATACCCACCCTGTTGTCCTCCTTGACAGGTCCATATGACTGTTTATTCTAGTATGGCTTTCACCTTTCATAGAAAGATTGTGTAGCTTTCTCTTCCAAGCGAATGGGTGATGAAGCTGGCTTATGCTCAGTAGATTAGCAGGTTTTTTCTTTCATTATGAGTACTATAATGGGAATGGGCTATGGCTGTGGATGTGGCAAATCAATGTTCATAGCATCAGTGGCACCAATGCATGGACTTGTTTATAGAATATAATGATTTATAAATTTTTTTACAATAAATATGAAACTTTATTTAATAAGAGGGAAATTACATGAAGATCAAGAGTGTTGAGGTAACAAAAGAAAAGGAAGGGAAAGACAAATTAGATCCATTATATATCTTCATTAAGAATATCAAAAGTAGCCCAGAAATTTGGATCAAAAGAAAACCTGACATCTTTAAACTCTAGAAGAGGTAACATCCAATCCATAATAAGATTCTAAACACTAACACAGTCTGTTGCATCCATGCTTCTTCCCATAAAAAAATTCATCTGTTTCTCCCTAAATACCCCAACAAACAGTAAAAGGAACAATGCTGCAAAATTTTTGCCTTCTTGCTACCCACAAGCAATGGTCAAGAAGAAAATATATCATCAGGATAAACATACCTGAACTTTTGTTTTTCAAACAATGAAAAGAATACCCAAATAAATTCAGCAATCCTGAAAGAAATAAATAGCTAACATTTTTTTCCACTCTCGCTTATATGATTATAATAGACTAGTCATCTTGAATCCTCTACTCTTTGAATAGTCAACAGTAAGAAGGCTGTCAAGAGAAAGCAACCACACAGACACCTCTAACCTTGTTGGAATAGGATTACCCCAAATGCCCTCAGTATTAGCAAACCCCACCTGATTTCTGATTATGGCCACCATCTTGAGTCCAAAGATGAGGGAGAGATTTTTTTTCAGATTCTAGTTTACCCCCCAGAACAACATATTCCTCCAATTTTCTGTCCAACAAAGGTCATATAAAAATTGAAAATTAGAGTCCAAGCAACCTGGTTAGTGGTTACTTCTAATTTCAAAACATTTTATTTTTTCCGATTCAATACAGTTCTAATTATAGTTATTAAGGAATATAGGTGATTCTAGGTGACAGTGGAGTATCCTATTTTCCTCTAGGTAAGCACATTTGCTTAAGCAGTAGAACTTTATAAAAAAAAAACTAAGTTCTAGGTTAGTTTCCTAGTTTATTATATCAATCAGAATGCATATAAATTGAAAAGATAGCAATTGTCTTTATTAATATCATTAAATTTCCTCCCAAACATGACAATGGCAAATCACCATAAGTAATAATATTTTAAGTATTATTTTCAATATTTAAGGGAGGGAGGGAGGGAGAGAGAGTAATAATAAGAAGGATCATAGTAAAACCGTAAAACAAAGAATAAGTGATATGCATATATAAGAGTATATCAACAGACATACAAATAAGAAGTATCATACTGATAATATTATAATAAGGTCCTTCCTTGAGATTTTTGCTCACTAGGCAGGAACCTAGTTGCCTGGACAGGCACCTTTTTCATATAGGTCAAGGTGTTCAGGCTGGGTGCCCTTGGTTGGACTCCTTGCCACCTAGGCAACAATACCTTGACGGCTATGGTTTTAATCACCCCATTAGTTTTCCTCTTGCAAAACTCTCCCAAATGCTGGTCCCAGCTATATAGTCTTGGGAGGGGATTGGATACGGTCCTAACCTTTGTTTTTTTTTTTTTTTTTGCACAAAGTGGCTGATCTCATACTTGAATATGCATTCTTACGCTTGCCAGCCCAAAGATTTACCATTACACCAAGTAATGGCCCTGAAGAAGTCCCTAATGATATTCTCAATTTTCTTGACAACCTTCATAGGGGTTCTAAAAATAGAAAAGAAACAAACAGAAAGGTTATAGAACATGGCTCAAATTCATCCCAATCCCTAAGGAGATGTAGTTCTTCCAAGTTCCAATCAACTGATTTCTTGGAAAACCTTTCACCAACTGGGACCTAGAAAGAGACAGCCTAGTATTATCTCCTAAAGGTAGGCCTAAATGCTTCAGGGGCCAATCAGTAGTCTCACCCCAAAAGTCTAGAACAAACTACTAGCCCCTACTGCAAGAGAATGAAACTTTATAGTGAAACCTGGAAATCTCAAAATTTCTCTCCAAATTCCATATCCAACTTGCAAATCACTCCTTTTCTTCCAGATGTTTTGAAACCAACCACTGAATTATTGGCTACTAAAATTTGGTCCACTATCCCTTGGTAAAAGCCCTCTGGTGGGCTTGAAATAATATGTCCCAAGACATCTCCAAATGAAAGGGAAAGAACTTAGGCAACAACTTTGTAAGGGATTCTGACAAGGCTGATTAGAGTAAAATCTCCAGGATGAACTGCTCCTGGGATTTTGGGGATCAAGGAGATAAATGATGCACATTCCTTCCTTTGATTATCCCTCAAGTAAAGATTTCCTCAACACTCCCACTAGACCATCCTTCACAGTATCCCAACACTCTTGAAAAAAGCCATAGAGAATTCATCAGGTTCAGGCACCTTGTCTTTATTCATTTGAAACTTGAAAGACCACCAATATTACTTCTTTTGGAAAGGGCTTTTGTAGCCACTCCATTGATGCCTGTTTGACAATGCACATCTGTTTGAGCTAGGGAATAACTTTATCATCTAGAAGCACAAGAAGCCACTAATGTTGGCTACATCTTATAAAATACAGCGGTAGCATGTGCTCCTTGAAAATCAATTTGGTTCAAGACCTTGTTTACCAAACTCAATCTTTGATGCTATCTACCCATGGATTTCCTTTACAGCAATTAAGTTGCACTTGCATACTATTATCATTCAATCTTGTATTGCAGACCAACCTGGCTATGTTGCATACAAAGGACTGTTCTTTTCAAAATCAAACGGAGTATGGAACTAAAAACAGGTATAAAAGACTGATGTTAAAATGAAAAGAAGAAAAAAGAAGAGCCTATCATGAAAAGTACAATTTTGGCTGAGAAAAAATTTACCTCTGGGACTTTAGATTTACGCAACTGTATTTCCGAATCAGCAACCTTTAGTTTATTAGAGCACTCCGAATTACAGGGAAGAAGTCCAAGACCAAATTGATTTTTAGGGATATCTTTGGGATCTTGCCCAGTTTTGTGATAGGCTGCCTGTACATCTTGACAAAGCCACTCCTTTTTCAGGGTTTGACATTTGCAACGAACGGTGACCTTGCAAGACAGTTGGTACAAGAATAAGATTAAAGGTTAGAGAGATGTAGTACCATAATGGRCCTAGCCAACCACCAGATACAACATCAATATCTTTTTTAGATCAAACATTGACTTAATGCATGGTGATTTCTGCTCATTGAAGATTATTTTGACATGATCTTATGGAGGTTTCATAAATTCTCACTCCAGTATTGTTTATACAAGTCCAATATTACTTGTTCTATGAGCTATGAGCTAAAGGACATGCTATCTAATTTCAACAAGGAACTTTGGGAATGAATTGGTGAACTATAATCTGTCAAATTGTTTACATGCCAGAAATGATCGAAGAAAAAAATGTTCACATGTCAAAGGAAGCCAAGTCTTCCACATCAATAGGCACTGAACTGGTTTACCATCTAGATTAATTCTTGAGATGAATGATCACACTTATACCTAAAACAATACTCAGAAAGATACCTTTTTACAACACTTTTCAGGCAATGGGCATTGACCAAGATGGCATGTCTCTGGGCATAGATGTGTGCAGTTTGGCAACTTTCTGCATATTCAACATGGTAGAAAAGTTACGGTTAGAAAACAATGCAATATGTCCAACAAATTAGAAACTCTCTCCACGGTTTATAAAACAAGTTCATGTATGAGATCATCTAGAAGGTTGGGAATCCACTGAACAAGAAATATAACAAACAAGTCATCACAACATTCACATGTCACTTTATTTTGGCTTATTAGAAGCCTCCAAAGTGAAAAGCTGGTCAAGCAACATAATATTAACAAGAGAGAAGAAGAAACAACTAATTAACTGCAGTAAGAGCTCACTATCTTGTAACCCATCAAAGAAAAAAACAGCACACTATCTTGTATAGAAAAATAATCTGCATTTCATCTTCTGTTTGCCTTTTCATATCATCATATGATGAAAAAGAAAATATACAAATTATACCCTGCAAAAAAAGGAAGACCAAATTGGTGCCTATCCCCATATTTGTGTTTTTTTTTGTAGTGCAAGCAAGGAAACTACTTACCATTTACTAATACCATGCTTTTTTTGTTACTAGTGTTTTGGGAATGATTCTTTTCTCGTTTTGGTTGCAGGTAGAGTCCTACAGATGTAATGTTTGTTCAGCTTGACCTTTTTTACAATGCCTAGGAGGGAGAAGATAATGTAGTGTTAAACAAGGACAACAGTCATTTGAACAATATGGAAAGAAATGCAAGGACTTTTATTGGAAAGATACATGGTAAAGAAACTATTATTGGAAGTATTGCAGTGGAAGTAGTACATTGGGCAATTGGTAGTTGATTCTTCAACGGCAAGAAATATGATTTAAGTACAATGGATAGTTGATTCTTTAAGAGGTTGGAATAAATTAAGTGCTCATAATTTAATGCCATATCCATTGCTAAATTATAAGCTCTTAAATCATTTCTTACCACTTCAGCTCATGTCCTTTTTGCTCTGTGCCTAGCCCTTTTAGCCCCTTCAACTAGCAACAGATCACTTCCTTCTTATGGGTGCTGAAAGGAGCCCTCCTAATGCTAATCATATAAAATTGAACTTGATAGATATTACATTTGCATAAAATTGAACTTGGTGGATATTGCACTGGAAATCCAGGACCGTCAGGTATAAGTGGAATGTTTAGGGATGAATATGGCGCCATATTATGGGGACTCTATAAGGGGTGAAATACTAGTTATGCTGCAAGGCTTAAAAGTGAATAGATCATTAAATTTAAGAAATGTAGTGGTAGAGGGTGACTCAAAGGTGGTGGTTGGATGAATGAAAGATAACAGTCAAGGATTATGATAATACCAACACAATATGAAGGAGATAAGACATCTAACACAGGAATTTGAGTCGATATTTTGTTGGTTTCAGTGATCAGTGTTAGAGTACACAGAACAGGGGTATTTTGGTCATTTGGGTTTATCTATTTGAGAGTGAAAGGTCTGTTTTATTTAAGTTTAAGTTATTTGTCCCATCACTTATGAGGGACAATATGGTCTTTCTTGTAACTATGTTATTGGAGATAAATACAAGTGGGTCGACTAGAGAGAGGACTGATTTTCCTCTACTGGCCGAACCCTTCTTCTTCTTCTTCTTCTTCTTCT